ACCAAAAAATGCCTGGGCCGATTTTTTGTCCCAGTCCAGCCCTGGGTGACACTAATTTCATTAGACTTGCCAAGAAAGTCTCCCCCATGACTTTCCCCCTAATCAGCTCCCTAGCTCATGAATCAGTATATCGTGTACACTGGTAAGTTCCCTGGCTCACTGCACAATGGGACAGTGATTACTCAATTTCTGGTGACATGACTACGTACAACGTCAACGGACAACATTGTAGAACATCATTGCTGGAATTAATCAACAACAGGCAGGACCGGTTTCTTTTTGATATTATTTTTATTCTCTTTAAACACATTGTTCTGTTACATGTTCTTTCAACATTTCAGCCAAATATCAATTATAAAAGTTAACTAAATGTGTTCATTACCTGTCTAGCGATGTGTGTTTATGCTGAAATATACTAATAAAACAGTTTGTCTTTTCAAATCTTCTATCGCGTGTAATTTTTATTGAGTTGGCTCGTGTGGTTTATGTTTCGTGCTTCAGAAATGTGACATAATTTCCGGTAAGGGAGCATAGTGAGCACCAATGCTCCCTAGTTTTTGCGGTGCACTGTGGGATTTTTCAGGGAGCGAACGTTCCAGTCCACTAGAAGGATTTTGCGATTGAGACAGCCCTTAAAATGGCCGACTCTCTGATCAGTTCCCTGACTACTGAACTAGGGAGCTGATTGAGATGCACCCATAGTAATAACAGGCTCTATGTCCTTTCTACCATGAGGTCACAAGATAGTCAGCTCATCCATGAGGTTCTCAAATGGGGTCAAGGTGTCACAGTGTGTACTAAGCGTGTTATTGGTCCGGTCAGGTCCAGCTTGCTCATGGTGCTCTTTCACAATGCTCCACACCTCTTCTCGAGCTTCTTCCATGTTCTGAGCATACTCAGTCCACCTGAGGAACAGCCCTACCCACAAACCCATACAAAGATAATGAGGACTCTGTGACATTAAGGTTGGAAGTATATGTTTTTTCTTTTGCTCAAAATACATGGAGCTGACTTTACATATCAATAATACCAAGAAATTTCAAAAACTGAATGGAATTTCTTACATTTTTAACTTGCAATAGTTTTATCACATTACAGCGGTAACTCACCTGTCCATAGCTGTAAGGACTGAGGATGTACTGAGGGCCAAATGGCCAAATCAGTGGGTTCATACAGTGGGTTGAGGTACTGCTCTTCAATATCAGGCCTCAGTAGGGACTGAAACAAACAGTGTGTGTTCTCCTTCACTCCTGCAGCACATCTAGCCCAGGCAAAAATGAAAATAAATCAATTATATGTACAATTATACAATATATATATGCACAGGGACCGAAGTGGCCAGACCAGGCCCCCTCGAGCTGCTCGTGGCGCCAACACACCAAGAACGTGTTAAATTAATCAACAACAACATCAAATTTTATGTTGTTACAAATGATTTATATTTCTGATAAATGCTGTTCTTTTTAACTGTCAAATTAATCAAATAATCCAGAAAATAAACATGTATTGCAATTACCAAAAAAAATATTAACAGCACAACTGTTTTCAACACTGATAATAATATGAAATGCTTCATAAGCACCAAAACAGCATATTAGAATGATTTCTAAAGGACCATGTGACACTGAAGACTGGCGTATCACAGGAATAAAATTAGATTTTAAAATATATTAAGCCAGAACATAGCTATTTTAATTTAAATAATATTGCACAATATTAGTTTTTCTGTATTTTTCATCAAATAAATGCAGCTTTGGTACGCATAAGAGACTTTTTTCAAAAACATCTGAAAATGACTTTGAACTTTTGAATGGTAGCGTATGATGAGTGTCATATGGGGTAATTTGTGCTCACCTCTCCTGCTCGCTGTTACACAGGAAGGTTCCATAGTTAGAAGCGTAAACCTCTTGTGCCAGTCGCAGCAGCAGAGCCTCACTAAATTCCAGTGCCAGAGGAAATTGCCGCCACACCTGCCACACACAGTCAAGCAGCAGCAGGAAGATTGGGCACTCCTGCTTCAGACGGGCATGAGAGTACGCCGAATGAGCACAGCGCTGCTGGAATGGGTGTCCAGCCTGAGAAACAACAAGCACAACACTCATCAACTTTCTGACAAACAGATCTGACACTAATATTAGGTAGTAGTTTAGTAAGAAAGTTCTTTTTTGTTGTAATGCTTTAACAAAATTCCCCCACATGTACCTAATCACACATTATGTCACACAAACACACATTCACCTGTATCCATTCCCTCTCCAGCAGGCAGAGGAAGCCAGTGACAGTTCTAGATGCGGGGTCTAGGATAAGCTGAGCCAATGAGCTCACCAGCAGCGTGTTGTCAGTCCCTTCAGAGCCATGCACAAGCACAGAGTGACCATCCCTGCAAAAAACAGACCACAGACCAGAGCGATACATCTCGAAGCCATGCATGGGTCTGCAGTGACCACCCTTCAAAAACAGACCATATGCCAGAACAACACATGACCAAACCATGCATAAAACACAGGATGAAAAAAAAACAGATTAAAGCAACACATCTGAGAGTAATGCGGCATATCTAATATTTGCATCTTAAGGAGCAAATAAGCATATTACAATGATTTCTAAAAATTCAGCTTTGTCATCACAGGAATAAATAATATTTTATTTAAATATTGTAATAATATTTCACAATATTACTGTTTTTACTCTATTTTTGATCAAATAAATGCAGGCTTGGTGAGCATAAGAGACTTATTTCAAAAATCTTACCAATCCTACATTTTAGAACTGTTGTGTTCTGTGTGTCACAACATACAATACATAACATTAATTGATATTTTAGTCACACAAAAGCATTGAGCAAAATAATAGGACAGAGAATGTAAAGTACACTACCGACATTTTCCCGTAAATTTTTCATTAGACATTATTTATTAAGCCAGTACACAGAGAAATCAGTGTCAGCTGTGTCCTTGCCTTATTCTGGGTCACTATGGAAAGCCTACATTAATTTAATAAAGCTGCAACTTTTTATATGAACCACAGATGGCGACAGAGAGCACACAATTTTGTAGTGTACCTTTAAAAGACTAAAGTAAAACATCTTCCCACCTCTCCACACACTCTACCACCAGGCCTGCAGTGGACAGCGCACTGTGAACATGAGAAAGCCATTTGGAGTTCTCCAATTTACTGAGCCAGCGGTCCACACTGTGAGACGGGTCACTGCACGCTTCCACCAGCTTAATAAGACTCTCCTGCACAATTTTACCCCTGTAAACACGCATGATTACATGCAAAATCAAAGCCAAAACAACTACAGATCGGTCACATATTTTCAGACAATTAAAAATGACTAATGTTCCCTCTCACCTTTCATGGTGTCTATGGATTCTTTTCCAGTGGCTATAAAAGGATTTAGACTCAAAACCTCCTCCTGTCATCCGGGCCTGCTGGGCTTGCTGGGCAGAACGCAGATCGATGATGTAACCCAACTCTGACCCATCAATCACAGCCTGGAGAAGGAGCTCATCCTCCTTACATCTCTTCTTATTGGCTCCTGTCAAAGGCTGGCTACTTCGCATAATCACCTAGTCAATGGATACAAATAATTTTTACTTTGGAAATTTTGATCTACTGCATATTATGCATTTTTTGCTTTAATGAGAAACATATTATTTAATGCTGAAAACGGTGTTACACATTTGTACTGTTTTAATGTTGCACTGTTCTTATACACCAATATACAATGACACTTATATTTGAGATATAAGAAAACATCCTACACTCACCATTCCGTTCCTATGGTGACAGTAGGAGAGTACAGGAAATCTGCCGCCCTGTCTGAACCTGGCTGAGCGGATCAGCTTGTCATCGTCCACCTCACGTGGCACAATAACCGCAGATGGATACGATGGGCATACAGAGTAATCTGAGTTTACTGTACTGACTCTCCACCTGTCCCACTGCTCACACACACATGCACATATTATGAACACGCACAAACATGCACATGTATACAGCTATACATAAGTTATAAACATATATTACTATTAATTAACAAAAATAAATAAATAAATAAACCTAAACAGTAATATTTAAAAACTAATAAAAATGACATAAAGCTGAAAATTTATATAAATATAAAATTATAAACTTTACACATGAAAGACACTATAAAACTGGGGGAAAAAGAGTGACAAAAACACTGTAATTATGATACAAGTACAGTACATAAGGGGATAGAAATAAACATCTACAGTTATGGGGAAAAAAATGAAAGGCCACAGATGCTAGATGACAATGGCTGATAACGAAACCTACGGAGACAAACAAGGCATAGAAAAGAAGACTAGCTACAGAGAAAGAATACACACTGCTTTATTTCCTGTGAATTTAACTGTCACCCACGTCTCACAACTGCTTTTAGTTTCCTGTGGCAAACAAAGTGCTTCCTGTTTGTCTTCCTTTCAGGAAATTAAACAATAGCTTATATTAAGTAAAATTTGACCTTAGAGTAATAATTTTCAGCATCATTTATTTGTGTTTGTCCTTGTGTGGTTCTCAAAGCAAGATAAACACAGAGTGACAGTAACTGAAGGAAAGGGAAGTGAAAGTAAAAGAAAGAAAAATACAGTTAAAGCGTGTGTAGCTCACCAGCCTTTCTGTTTGTTTGTAATATTGCTCCGTTGAGGACAGGCCCCATGGGCCGTTCAGAGTAAGGTGTGACGGTCTGTAGAAGAAGGGATACATCTCTGTCACACTTTCCAGAGACGAAAGAGCCTACAGAGACATGAGATGATATCAGTCCACTCTCACCCACAGCCATAACAAGAAAGGTAGACATTTAATATTGGTGCATCCCTAATTGTATTGTATTATTGTTATTATAGTATTGTTCGCAAGTTGAATCACAAGATCAATCACACACCTCTCTTAAACAAACTGCTTGATTTGAGGGGGTTTGTTTAAATTACATTTTAAAATATATTCAAATAGTAAACCGTTATTTAAAATTGTAATAATATTTCACAATGTTACTGTTTTGCTGTATTTTTTATCAAATAAATTCAGCCTTGGTGATCACAAGAGACTTCTTTCAAAACTTTTGAAAATGAGTATACCTAATTCTAAATATGAGCAATATTAATACTAATCCTTTTAATAAGAATGGTTAGATAATTATATTTAGTACCTCTATAGAACTGGCTATGTTCAGACATTCCTCCATTCCAGGAATTTCCAACTGAAGAACCAGCAGGTCCTTACATTTAATGGTGATAGTACCAGAGGATCCCATAGCCCTGTATCAGACACACATACAAACACCCCCACCATGTTTAAGTACATTCCTCCATGTTTGCTCACACTCTCAAATTCCATACAATCATCTCCATTGGGGCCTCAGAAGAGATGGAAGCAGGAAGCAAAAACAAGCCATGAGCGTAAGGCTAGCAGAGACAATGAGATAAATTGCAGAGGTATGACTGAGCTCTAAATACAATTTTAATAGAGTGTAAGCTAACAGTCTCTCTTGTTGTATCTCCATATTTGTACATTAGATTACAAACACAAATATTTATATATAGCACTACATGTATATAAATACTGCGGCTTTGCATGTAATCAAAACACAGAAAGCATGTGAGATATATGTTGCGTAAATGCTCATTGCAAAGCACAAAGATCTTGCAAAATACACTTTTTTCTGTTTTCTTCTGTGCCTTAAGCTACGAATACATTGCCAAGCAGCTCATTTTAGAAGATGCCTTCTTATTCAGACATAAGATGCTGCCCACCGCCACTTCTCTCCTCATTTTTAACATTACAGAATAAATTAACAGCAGATCCCAGATCAGAATAAAATGACAGCTTCAATGAGCAATAACAGTCAGTCCACAAATCAAACACTGGGCCTTCTTTAGAAGTGTACCTGGGGTATCCGAAAAGATTCTCGACACTGACACAAAGGAAAAGTGATTGGAGAAATTAGAGAAAGACAGAATTCGTTTATTATTACAGAAGCAGGTCACTTCAGGGATCAAACACACACACAATAAGTTTAACTTTACTTGGTAATTATGACCCAATTAAGATTCAAAATTAGACACATGGATGAATAAGAATGTGAATTATGCATTTACCAACAACAGTGATCAACAATATACATATCAATAAAAAAAAAATCCTGCTGAAACAAATGTACTTGATATGGTAAAATCTAAATTAATAGATTTTCTTTAAGTCAAAAATATTATTTAACACCACTGAATCAACTTAAGTACATTTGGTTACACAAACAAAACTAAATTTAAGTTTTAGCTCAGGTACAAATAGCTCTATAGAGCAACAACTGCAAGATACAACTATTTAAAATGTAATTTAAGCTGGTCTTAATTGGTTTAAGATTGGCTCCTCTGATGACCTGCAGGGGCTTCAGGCCAGGGCACTGGTTAGTCTGGGTGACCAGTTTAAACCAGCCAGCTTAGCCATGCTGGAAGACCATCTTAAACCAGATAAAACCAACAAACCATCCAAGGCTGGTTTATGACATTTTTCCAGCAGGGTATAATTACGGTCGCCTTGTATTACAGCACACACACACACACACACACACACACACATGCAGTGGTCAAACCTCCAGAACTCCAGCTGATGAGAACAGCTGTCTCTCTACCTTTTCTCAATGGCATCGATGTTCTTGAGGAGAATGAGGAGTTGCCAGGAAGCTTCATCCTTTCTGTCTGAGAACAGAAGGTGGTGGCTGGTAACGCACAGGGTTCCTCTGAGCGCTGGATGGAAAGGTCTTCTCAGGGTAACATCTTCAACATTAGCGGTCTTGATGTGCTCCGACAACTCCATTTCACAACGACAACAACCACCATCTGGTACTTCTCTAGCTGAGTTTAGAGAGTTAGTGGGCGAGCCACACGAGTCTCTGTCTTCCGCAGATATTATAAGTAATCCTCTACAAAACTGTGTCCCACCCCTTGATATTAATTTAGGCTGTTTTAAACTCACCGGCAGCTGGTAAATATAAGACGCCACTAAGCGACTCCGCGCGAGCGACGGGAGGTGTGTCTGCTGAGCTCGCGCGATTCTTTAGCATTTTGTTGGCTTCGCTATACTTTCATTTCCGTTCACACTCTTGAAGTCCCAGCCCTCTTCTCTTTTTTTGTGATTTTTTTTGTTTGTTTATTGTTGTGCCTGTATGTTTTTCTCCATATTCGTTCGTTATCACTTTTCCTGACATTTCAGAGTAGTAGAACTACAAAACACAGGCCAGAAGGAGTCTGCTTTAGCCTATTCAGGTAACACATGGGATAGAAGAAAAAAAATAGTAATAATAATTATATATATATATATATATATATATATACATATATATATGAAGAAGAAGAAGAAGAAGAAATATATATAGATATTCGTTTTACATTTAATGGCCTAAGTCTTTCGATGCCACAGACCCTCAAATATAAAAAGTCCTTTGCGAGGGACCTCCTATGTAGTATATAAGCCTACAGGCAGCATTTTCGTGTATAAACATCAATTTATTCTGTAAAAAAATAATATCTAAAATATATTTACTTTCTGTTAAGTTTCTTCTCTTTCTTGCTGTTTATCTTCAGTAGAATAAAATAGATTATTATTATATGTTAATAATATATATATTTTAATTACTTTAAAAAAACAATTTTTTTCCTCTGAACTTTATACACAATTTTTCTCTGAACTTTTCGAGGACCCCCTAGCACCACTTGCAGATTTTTGGGGGTCACTGGACCCCATGAGTTTGAAAACCGACTAATATAATAGGCCTATACCGTTCGTTTTAGATTGTTCTTAGCTAAATAGATTTTCACTGCAATTCCTCAACATCAGCAGGAGATGGAGACATTCTGTCGTAAAACAGTTCCAATTGACACAAGTTGGATATTATCGGTGCAATCGCGATAGATATGCACAAGACAGAAGACCTGTATAAGAGGCTATATACAAGTTAATATAAGTTAAGTATTTTAAAATGAAGTCTGGTTTAGCAAACTAAATTTTAATAAATTTTTACTAAATTCAGTAATTCAGGCAACACGTGGGATAGGATTTTTTATTATTATTTTCTTTATTTGTTATTTCTTATTATTTATTTATTTGTTATTTTTGCCATGTTTAACCAGTTTTACTTAAAATAAATAATAAATATTCGTTTTACATAATGTAAACCTTAAAAAGTTTTAATTTTAAAAAGACCCTCAAATACAGGGACTTCCTTTACAGACAGATCCATTTGAAAAATCTAACCACTATGAAAAATGTAATATCTAGAAAAGTTTTAGGCTACTTTCTGTTAAGTTTGTCTTTTATGCTTTTTATCTTTCAATAGAATTAAATAATATTTGATTATCAAACTTGATTGATTATGATATTAATAATATTTTAAATATTACTGTTCTAATTATTTTACAAAACCTTTGTAATTATTCAAATTATCTTTTTTAATACTATTTTTCACTGAACTTTTTCGAGGACCTCCTTTGCGGCCCTCTGGTGGTCCCCCGTCCCCGGTTTGAAAAAAAAAATCACTAATAATCACTAATATGACTACCGTTCGTTTCAGAATAAATATACTATCATTAATATCTTACTGATTCTAATGTTTGATTTTCATTCCTTGCTAAAAGGATTCTCACTGCAATTCCTCAACAACAGCAGGAGATGGAGACGTTCTGTCGTAAAACAGTTGACAAAGACTGGATGTTGGAACACTGATAGAAAAGCAGCGTGAGCGAATTTTGGGCCACAACGACATAAATTAAACGTTTACTTTGTTATTCCTTATAGTTGCCTTTGTGAAAACAAATAGTCGCATAAAAACTGTCTGTCCTGAAACTTCTCAATTTAGTAGGCCTATGTGTGGTTTTCAGCTCGTGTGAGGTGCTGCTTAAGGGTGTCAAGCGACTCTGTAGCTACCACCTGAATAGTACCTCATGAACACGAAATGTCGCGTTTGGCCGCAACATGCAAGTTCAGATTGTCTAAAGTTCTCTGATACTCTTGTCATTAAGCTGCCGAACATGGGCGGTCACTTTTCTGTCTATATAAACATTAGCCCAGCACACCTCTTGAGATTAATCACTCGCGCACATGATCAGGCACAGTGCACATGTCTGAGCAGTCACAGTCTCGCCTATCTGGAATGAAAGCAGCTCAGTGATGGAGTTCAGAGAGCTGGGAGCAGACGACAGTTCTGAGGGCGATATGGAGGATCTGGATAGTGTAAAAGCCCTGACAGAGAAACTCAAACTTCAAACGCGCAGACCGTCGTACCTAGAATGGAAGGAGCGACTGCAGGCTCGCCCGTGGACTAATGCCACACACAGTTCAAATGTCAGCAGCCCAGGATCTGTGGAGGAGGACACTCAGCTATCCGACATCTGCAAAGATGGGATGCCTTATAAGAATATATGCGGCTTTGATACTATAGACGACGCGTTAGAATGGCTCAGAAACGAACTGGTATTGTATTTATAAGCTTTATATATTTTATTTTTATTTAAACGTTTGACTAATTTTATAAATGGTCATTGTGTTTAGGATCTATCTATCTATCTATCTATCTATCTATCTATCAGCACGCAACACCATCAGTGGTTTTGGGATTTTTACCTTTCTACTGTCTTTGGGTCATTCAGTACAAAAATATATAAGATACACCACTGTTCAAATGTTTAGGGTCAGTTAGTTTTTTTTATTATTATTAATACTTTTATTCAGCAACAAGCACACATTAATTTAATCAAAAATAACAGTGAATATATTTATAATGTTACAAAAAAAAATACTATTTCATATAAATCAGCTTTGTCATCACAGGAATAAATTACATTTTAAAAAATTAGCATAAGAGACTTCTTTCAAGAACATTAAAAAATCTTATCCACCTCAAACGTTTGAACTTTAGTGTATGAATTAATTAAATTATATAAAATATATGTAAATAATATACTGTATATACTAGATATACTTTATAGAACATGTAATATAACAGTTAAACAGTTGATTTGACTTGGCTAAAGAACCAGACTGTTGTAAAGTGAGATGCATGTCAACTTCAGCATAGTACAACGCAGGTGGCATGACTGTAGTCTCTTGGCATATCACACTTAAATGCCACACAGGTGCAGAAACTTGAGTGGGTGTTTGACAGAAAGGTGTGCTCAGTGTCCTGCATGTGTGACTGCTCTTTCGAATAATTTAATCTTATAATTACTGCTGGTTATCAAAGACTTGGTGTGTGAGCTATAAAATCATTCTCCTCTCTTTCTCACTTGTCCTCAGAGGGAGATGCAGATGCAGGATAACCGTCTCGCACGGCAGTTGATTCGCTTACGGGTGGAGATCCACAGGTTGAAGGTGGAGCAGGTGTGTCACCGTCACAAAGAGATGCTGGATGATGCCACGTATGAGCTGGAGGAGTGCGAGGAGGACTCAGACCTGCTGTGTGACATCCCCATGAAAGCTGCCTTCACTCTGTCCACCCCTCTCAAACATCTTGGTCTCACCAGGATGAACCTCAACTCCAGACGATTCTCACTCTGTTGAGAGGCACGGTGATGAGAGACGCCCCTCAAGAAAATTTCTGTTACTTTTGCTGACACTGCATGGAAACCAAAGTTTTGTTTCATTTCAGTGTTAAAATTGGACCATAACAGAAAAATCAAAATCAAAAATCACTTTCAGTTTTCTTCAAATCACTAAGCCTTACTGAACTTTGTTTGACTTGACCACAGGTGGTCATATCTGGAAATGCAGTAGCCAGCTCTACAGTCTATACCACTTGTGAAGGCGGACTCAACACAGGTCTGAGAAAGTCGCCAGAGTTGGAAAAACGTTTATATTTACATTTGAAAATAGCTGAACTGATCTGAAAATCAAGAGGAACCTGCTTCTGTGTCAAAAGGCATGAAATTGGCACACTCCCATGAGTGTTCCTGACTGCTCAGGGGAGGAAACACTGTCTCGTCAGCTTGGCTCTGATCCCGAGCAGCAGCCTTACAGGAAGTATGAGTTTGTGTTCAGGCATTTTGTCACCTTGTCTCTTAAAACCCAAAAATAACCCCCACTCTTCAGCTCAGAGCTGCAACAACTGAAAAGCTAATCTAATAAATTGAGGGTACGTTTTTGAGAATCTTGTGCTTGGGAAATGTTGATTTACACAGTCAGTTTTTTATAGTGTCCTTTGTATGTCCACTGAACCCATTTAAGTTTAGAAGCACTGGAAATTTAACACTGCGTATGTGCATGGATACTGTAAGTGCTCATGTCTAAAGCTCCATGATAAAATGAAAACATATCACAGAGGACCTTTATATTTTGACAAATTTCAACTTGGGAATGAATGTGTAACAATTTTTTAATATTTTTTAATATCACATTTTTTATTTTATTTTATATTTATGAAATTAATACTTCTGTTCAGCAAGAATGCATTGAATTGATCAAAAGTGAAAGAAAAGATTTTTGCATTTTCCATTTACAAAAAAATGAAGGATCATGAGACATTGAAGACTGGAGTAATGGCTGAAAATTCAGTTTTGTCATCACAGGAATAAATTACATTTTGAAATATAATAAAATAGAAGACAGGTCTTTTGAATTGTAGTAATATTTCTCAATATTACAGTTTTATACAGCTGTAATTTGGATCAAATACATGCAGATTTAGTGAGCATTAGAGACTTCTTTCAAAAACATCACAAACAATCTTACATAAACTATAATAATACATAATTACATAATCTAAACATTTAAATGGTAGTGTATATAATATTTTTTTAATTAATTAAATGTTTGATGTACAAATGTTTAGTGCACTATAAGGGTGTAAACCATGCTTTTGCTTTCAATCAACCTGTTTACTGAAATGGAGCACGATGACTGACTTTTTTTTCACACAGGGCTAAAAAAATACCTTAAATTAATAAAATGCCTTAAAGTTATTTTGAAGATAAATTGTGATTGATATTGTAACTTACAAAAAAGGAGAAAAATATTGCTCATTCATTGGTACTCATTCACTATAATGAGAATTTATGAATTTTATATTTGTAAATACATGTATTTAAAACCATTATTTTCTTGTTGATCAAAATTTCTTCACAGTATTGTGTTGATGTATGTATTTGTGTAATTATGCAAACTGTTTTGAGTAGCTCTTATCTCGCTTTGCTCAGATTCTTCCGTCTCGCGCATCCTCACATGAATAAACCCAAAGGGTTTTTATGCAGTGTTATCACACAAATGAAATTAGATTATATTTATCAGAATAGGCTGCATTTATCAGTAAATGTGTCAAACAATGAACCAACTGCTTTATGGATTGTAATTGCAGTGACGGCACTGACTGACAAAAGGAGTCATGTGACGCATGCCAAGAAATGATCTCATGCTAGATAAATATATGGAGGGAGAGAGAAAGAGTGAGAGACCTGACAGGGAAAGCCATCATTCCTAAAGCTGTTCTCAACACTACCCAGACAGCAACATAATGTTGGCCCAGATCTGGCCCACATCTGGCCCATGTGAAATCCATGCGGGCCAGATGTGGGCCGGATCTGGGCCGAAACGGTCTGCTGTCTGGGTAATATTACAAGCTTTTGAAGTTTATATCTCGTAAACCCAGTGGCATTATGGCAAGTACCTTAATTGAACAGTTCACATGAGGGGTGCTTTAGATTCCTCCTTCAAACAGAAACATTAACTATTTAGTTCACCTGAGAAGACACAAAAGGTGTTTAGTTGTGTTCCAGATACAGATTCCCTCGAGGCCTAGAAAAGAAAACAAACACTGTGCCATGAAAGTGTCACTCTGCTTTGTAGAGCTTAAATGAAACCATCATGATAACCTACTTTGAACTTGAGTGCAAATGTGATAAAGTAAAAAGGTGTTTTGTTCATACAGTGTTTTCACTGAAACCTAAATTATTTATCAAATTATTTGATGTGAATTCAAAATGTTAGATTTGCCTGTTATATAAATAGTCAATTTGCATCTCAAAAATGGGATGAGAAAACATCTACCCTATTTCCTGGAAATAAGTTGGTTGACATAAAGCTAAATGATCCTGCTATATAAACAGTTTTCAAATGTTTTACGGCCAAGGACTCACATGTATGAAGAGCCCCTTGTTAGGAGCCCCTTTTCTAAAACATATAGCCAATACAGTTGAAGAATTATTGAAATATTATCTGAAAAATATTAGCTTATTTTAAATATATTTAAAATAAGCTAAATATATTTATAAATATACAAATATAATTATCATATATTTTGTTTTTCAACCCATTGTAAAAATGTATAAATTGATTAATATTTTTCCAACTCATGCAGCTTTACAGAAAATAAGACTGTACAACTAGTGCACAAGCTAAAGCCAACAATGGTAAAGAAATTCTCCTTAGAAAAGGACAACAAATATTTTGTATTATTTTTTTTAACATGTATGTTGCAAGGAAGGAAAGATTAACATCTGTCACAAAACTATATGCATATTTGTTGTTTAATTCTTCTGTTAAAACACATTAAATATATTTAATCTGTTACATTTTTCACAGCTCTCCTAGCACCCAAGACCCCAGTTTGAAATTTTTTGCAAGGATTCACAATCTCAAAGCATCAAATGAACATTTGCTCTTACAAGAGATGTAACTGTGAATATATAACTGTCTGTTACAGTTTTTCTCAGTCGCTTTGGTGCATTTCTCAAGTTCTCAAGAAATGAAATTCTCAAAACCACTTGTACATCTTCCACATCATCTAGTCATTTGTACACATCATAAAAGCAGTTTCTCATTCTTTTGAACAAGCTGTGATTGCTTTGGTACATTCATGCGGTTTCCTACATTATCAGTTGCTAATGCCATTTTGCTCAAAATGTATTATATAGTTTTCTGTGCAATAGTCTTACCCCTCAAAACATCTAGTCTTTAGTTCATTGTATAAGTCATTAAATGCAAAATGGTTCATCTAGTTGTCATAAACTGTCAAGCACATTTTTTACACATTATTATTAGACTTTTTGTAAATTTGGCATGAATTGTGCAAGTGAATCTTGACTCTCACTAATGAAGAGAATGTAGATCAACCAATGATAAACCATTCCTCTGAAATAGCTCAAAGGTTCATCTCATGAATTTTCAGTTGGAAAGCATATAGACAGAGGACAACACAAGCGTTACAAATTCTGACAATGAACTTTCTACTTTTTTTATTTTCATCTTTGTGCCCATATTTCTTTTTCCTTTTCTATATCACAATGACATTGTAATGTGTGTTTTTATTTTTGGTCAGACCACTAGTAAAAGTGTAAGTGGAATTCTATCCTGTCTCTTTCAATCAATATCCCACATACAGTAATGTGTAAATTTGTACTTTTGAAATGGATATATGACATACATAAGAAGTGCAGCCTTCTGCATTTCAATACAGTAACTGTCATCCAAACTGTTGCCATAGTTTACATCAGGTAATACTAACAAATTGCACTGTTATATTGACAATAAGACTAAGCATTTTGACTATCTTGTTTGTGCCAAAGAATGGAAAAAAAACAAGCCATTGTTTCAAGCGTTTACTCAAACTGACATTTAAAAACAACAAGAAATCCAGCAATTTGCAAAAATCACCCTGATGTAGTCCATCTTGCGAGGGGATCTGATTGAGTAATAGAATTATAAATGAGTGACATTTTCACCATATAACCCCACCTCTGAAACCACAATGAAACACCCATCTCTGCTGTGATCTCTGGACTCACCACATGAAAAGCCTGGTCAGAAGTTTCAGTTGCGTTGGACGAAATCAAAATAAATACAAATGACAGAGCAAATTTAGCCGTAAGTGTCTAAATTAAGATGAGTGTTCCTGCAGCAGAAAACTTAAGAATGTACCTCATTTCCTTTGAATGTTTGGGCTGTGACTTCCTGCAAGAGCATGCATTATTTGCAGACTGACGCCACAACAAAAGTGTGCGGTCTGCTCAGAGAGAATGAGAAGCAGAGAGAGAAAGACCGAAATGGTTTAAGAGACAGAAAACGACAAGAGACATGAACGCCATATCCAAGTATCTCGTTAAAAATGGTCAGATTTACTTTAATTTACCTCAAAAAAATTCTATTACATATAAGTTTTATTTTCTGGCATGTGTGGGTTTGCACATGTATATCCAGTAAACAGTGCTGCGAGATAGGCCTACGGTTTAATGTAAACCAGAGGCCTAAATGTTCGGATACTAGTAGGCACAAATGCCTCATATAATAGCAATGTGTGTAACACTTTTAAGCATGAACATTCAAATGTAAAGTTTTGTGGCTCCTTTTAGTACAAGCACAAGCCAGAAACCCATGAGTGCCGTTAAAGTTTCCGCTCTTTGACATCATGGCGCCACAAAAGCAGGTGACAAGTGGAGTCCTGACCCAGAATCCTTCACTCCAATGACACCAGCTGCTCATAGCAGTGTGCACCTGCTGAAAAATGTTAAATATCAGCTCAAACACCTCAACGACAGGAAGCTCTATCATCAGTTTGCTCTGCACCACAGTGGTGTGTGTGTGTGTGTGTGTGTGTGTGTGTGTGTGAGTGATGCCTTTGCAAATGATGTGCCTTTGTTAAGGTGGGAAGTCAAACTGTGACGTGACTGACACAGCCTTGACACTTTAGCAGCA